TCTGAAGGTCACCTCTCTATCTCATTTGTGCTTCTATGAGAGAACTGCAGGGTCATTGCATCCCTGTCTTTTTGTTGTACAAGCCCTTTCTACTATGAGACAGGCTGATGTGCCATAAATAAGGGGGGCGGGATAGCTTTTAAATACTCCAAAGAGATTCATGAAAAATTACTGTGGCTTCATTTGCAAAGCTCTGCTGTGTTTTTTCCAATGACCCCAACACCAAGGGGCATTCTTGAAATAAATCTGTCAGCTGCCTGCATGCCCAGATGTCGAGGTCAAGGAACTAATCAGGAGGTTTCCAGAATTTTTCTTAGAATTAATCACAAACTCATTGAAATAACTGATGGAAAAGATTTATTTGGATATCTATTCCTTTGGGCTACTGAAGGATTATTTTATGTAATAAAGCATGCCTGCCAGCCAAACCTATTTCCCTTCCTTTTCCCTGGACGATCCTTCACTGAGGAAACTGTCTTGTTATTTACATTAGCTACTTCAGTCTCAATGCCAAGCCTAGAAGTGTGATTATATAATAATTCCTTGCATGTTTATGAAGTGTGGGAGAATGAACTACACTTGTCCTTCACTATCCATTGGGGATTAATTCCAGGATACCCCGACAAGCACACATATACGAAAATCCTTACATGCCTAAGTCCCTTACATAAAATGGTGTGAAATTTGTATATAAACTATGCACATCTTTGTGTGCTTTAAGTCACCTCTAGATTGTTTCCAATATTTAATACAATGTAAATGTGTTGTAAATAGTTTTTATACGTATTGTTTAGTGAATAATGAGGAGAAAAAAAAGTCTTATTTAGTACAGATGTAATTTTTTTCTTCTCACATTTTCAACCAGTGGTTGGTTGAATCTGCAGATGCAGAGTCCACAGATATAGTGGGCTGACTGCATATCAAGAAAGTTGGGCTTTTATACAGTTGAGAGCAGCAAAGAGACAGCCAAAGCCAAAGATGAGATTCACAAGCCTAGACACCAGGTTCTGAGCCAACCTTGCCTCCCTGCCCATGGTTTATGACGTGATGAAAACTTGACAGAGTAGAACTTGACTACTCTGTACTAATATAGTTCATAGAAAGAAGAAAAGAAGAAGCAATTATTTGGTACATTTCTTATGGTTTCTTTTGGTTATCTCCAAATCAGAAAAACCTTTTCAGGAGTCAGGGAGTGATCTGTCCATCACACACATTCCTGGGGTACAGTGTTTGCTTGGCCAGGGGGTAGGCCTATGATCCCAGCTGTTCCATCTAGCCATTCCAGGATTTGGAATCTTTAGTAGAGTAACTGATAGAAGGGGAAATGAGGGTCTTCACCCCAGCTGTGCATCTAAAGCAGATAGCAAGCATTTCAGGCCACCTAGATTCCTTAGCTACTACCTTAAAGGATTCCTTCCATGGTATGTATTCTATTTGTGTTTTTGCCTGTAGCAATTTTTGTTAATTGATATTTTCATTGAAAATCATCTTTTTTTTTTAAAAAAATTGATTTTAAAGTTTACTAGTACTGAGTTGTTAGTATATTCTCTTCTCATTTTTAATTCTCTCTACATGTGTATGTGTGTCCCTTTTCTTATTCCTAATGAATGTTAAATTTTTGTGCATCTCCTAAAATTATATCTGGGGTTTCAAGATCTTTAACCCAGGAACTTAGCAGCCTGGGGGCAAATGTGTCCCTGGTTGCTCCAGCCCCAGGCCTGGCTAGCGAGGTGTACCCCTGGTTTTGTCCTGGTCTGTTTTTGTTTTGAGGCCTCATAGCTTCGTAGATTTGGGGTTTGTTTTTCAAGGGACTCCACATTCCATGTCAATGCAACCATTCTTTTTACATTGTCCTGGATATTTATTGTTTTGACTTAGATCCTTAGTAAAAGATATTTTACTTTTTATATGAGACAGCTAAGGATGAATAGTTCATTATGCTAGCACCTTTATTAAGCAAACAATCATTTTCCTACTGAATTGAAAGGCCATTTTTTCATATATTATATTCCTGTAGATAATTCTATTTCTGAAACTATCTCACTGATCTCTGTTTTGAAGCCATTGCCTTAGTGTTTCGAATATAGCATCTTGATAATACCTTTAATATCCATCCCTCCTATTGTTACCCCTTTTCAAGATTTTCTGGGTAATTCTTGTGCAGATGTTATTATGTCTACAGGACTTTAGAATATTTTTCCCTGTTCTAGTCACTGATTCTTATTTGGAATGCCTGCACATGAATCCTTGGGAAGGATCACATTTTTAGAATCCTGCAACTTTCCATTTAGGAGCAGCCTATGTGCCCGCCCTGATCCAGGCTGGCTGTTTCAGTCAGGGTTCTCAGTTGTGAAGGAGCCAACTGCAGCTGTTTTTCACCTAGAAGGAATTATCATAGAACTTCCAGTAGCTCACAGAGCCTCCAGGACAACCAGAAACCAAGGTTGGATGTAGCCAGGAAAGGAAGGAAAATCCAAATTGTACCAAAGAACTGCATTAAGGGTGACCCCACTATTTTGGTAAAACCTGGTGCCAGCATATGAGAACCAGCTGCCAAAGGAGAAGGTACCAGAAGATTGAAGGAAGAGGCTAACAGATCCAGGATTTCACAAGCACAGTTTATTGGAGACTTTCAGACAGAAGTGTGTCTTGGTCAGCAGTGAGATTAGTGGATCCCTGTATTCCAAGGCAAGAAGAAGGGGTTTATAAGCTAAGCCAGATAAAGGTGAGACACAGCCAACTGGAGCACACATGGCCTCTCTCAAAGTGTCTATCATCAGTTAAGAAACAGTACCAGCATCAGTGGTTGGTATAACACACACAGCATCAGTGGTTGGTATAACACACACAGCACCAGTGATTGGTATAACACACTGTCTAAATGACTTTTTCCTATAATGACTTTGTCCTGTGGGTTTTGGGATATATGTCAAGGTCACCTATCAAGCAAAATAGTGGTTACAACCAAGATGGCTATAGTCATGTCAAATTGTGTATCTACACCCATCATCACCACCCGACCAAGACCCCGCCAGCAGAGTGTTGATGACCTTGTTGACCCTGAGCTCTGAACCCTGCCTCCTGAACCTCAGTCCCTTTCCCCCTGAAAATAGAAGGTGTCTGCTGCCCCTTATGCCAGAATGGAGTCTGCTCAGTGCATGGTTCTTGTGACCAAAGCTCTGTCTTAAGTTTGATGAAGTCCTGTTCCATGGATGGAGCCAGGTTACCTACTAGCTTCCTCATTGCTTCATAAGGCAGGCTGGAAGGGCATTTCTGGAGAAGGCAGAAAACAGAAGGTGGGGGATTCCCTAAACCCAGGAGGAGGCTCATTATTAGTGGTTGGCCATATTGAGTGACCTACATTCATTTTATCTGAGTTCTTGCTCTTTAATAACATTTAAACACAATTTCACATAGATCACTTAATTTTCATGTTTATTTATTAATACTTTATTTTTCTGTGAATGTAATATTTTTGTGATATTTGTTCTAATTTTTACTAGTATTGCATTTATTATAATTGGTGTAACTAATACTCTCATTAATTCCATCAGTTTTTCAGTATAGACTCTTAGGTTGTTTTAGACATACAATCATGCCATTTGAATACAAGCAGGTTTATAATTTATACAGCTTATAATGTTTTCTTATCTTATTGAATTAGCTAAAGCTCCCAAAAGAAAGCAAAATTGTGGTGATAATTATGGATATCTGAGAGGGAAAGTCACTTTTAAAAAGCAATGGCAAATACAGATAAGGACCAGAATGATAAAGCCCACAGGAACACAATGAAGAGGCTTATTTGTAGGTGTTGTTGCAGCCAGCCCAGTTGAGAATTCAGAATGCAAAAGGAAAATCTAGGAACCTTATCTAAAAAGCAAAGGATGCAGTGAGTAGGCCTTGCAGAGGGAAGTGGCCCCTTAGATGAGAGCCTCCACATTTCTTGGCTCTAAGAATGCTGCATTACCCCACATCCAGTGTTTGTAAGTAGCAGACACATGGATGCATGAGGATTTCACAGCATCATATTTTGTAATACTTCATGCAATGAAAAAACATTTGTTACACTTATAATTGATCAATATTTATCTGAATAGCATTCACATTTTGAGTTGGCTGGTAAAAGACAGTATTTATTGAAAAGTAGGGCACCGCCTAGTCTAAGGGAAATCATTTGTTTCCTATTATGGGCTATTTTGAATAAAATTGCATAGATTTTATTGATTTTCTTTTTAGTCATTTTACCTCTAGGTTTTTATATTTTTAAAATCCCCTGTCTTCCCAGGCATGGGGTGACTCTGTTCTTTCCCCTGTCACTGAGACTCTCCTGTATCAGTTGGTCTAACACTGTTTATTGAAATGCTTGGAATGTTGTTCTTTCCATCCATGGTTTTTAATTTTCCAAGCTGTTTTTATTTACTCAACATTTATTGAACACCTACAATTTATTCAACACTGCAAATACGGTGATGATAAGATATGTAACTATAGCTGGATAAAATAAGTGTCGAGTAGAGGTAGGACTGGAAACCCAGAAAAGACCTTAAAGACAGAGCTAGAGTTGGGCATTGATGGATGAGTAGGAGTTTGATACTACAAAATTAGACAGGAAATTTCTGACCATGAGAAAAGCATGAGTCAAGGTGCAGAGCTATAACATATCTCCCTGCACAAATCAGTTTGAGTGATTTTCAGCGTTTTTCTATAATTCACCTGCCATTTTCTGGAATGCACAGCTAAGCTTTCTTCAAATATACTTTTTCTTTTTTTACTCGTTGCTGTTAAAATAGGAATTTCAAGGAATTCCTGATAGTATTCTTCCTGGCCTTGGTCAATAGAGATTGTGTTTGATTTGTTACTTAAGGGTAACTGAAGTGGGATGCTTTGCACTGAGCCATCTTCACTCATCCTTAATCATGTCTCTCGGGCCTGCCCTCGAGGTCCCAATGCCATGTTAACGGAGAGGTAACAGTGGGGTCTGTCTGTGTTCCTCCGTCTAGATCAAGTTTGACAGTGTGGAGGTGTGTGTCTGCTGTGAGCTGCAGCACCAGTCATCTGGCTGCAGCAACCTCGGGGAGACGCTGAAGCTGAACCCACTGCAGGAGAACTGCAACGCTGTGAGGCTGACCTTGAAGGTGACCGCTGGGCGCTGTTTGTGCATGCATTTCTTCACCCCGTGCTTTACAGACATTATGGGAAGATTTATTAGCACACAGTTTCCTTTCAGCCCATAATTCATCCAGGTAGATTCAATGCCAGAGGCAATGTCTTTCAGGGGAACATTTTAAAGGATTATAGATGTTCATTTGGAAGATGTTGCTTTCTGGATAGTGTTTTCCATGTTTACCTTTCCATTTTCCTGCCTCTGACATATGCAAAGTGGGATGTGGATGTTTAAGAGAGTTTTTCTTTTTCTTTTTTTTGTCCTTTTTACAAAGGATGATGTGATTTATTCTATTGCTTTTCTGACATTTTTGCTATAACATCATCAGAAAACACATGGGTGTTTATTTTGCTATTTAAAGGGCATTTGGAGAAAAATTGTATAATCTCTCATGGGAATCTGTTTTCTTTTCTTTCTTTCTTTCTTTATTTATTTTAGTTATCGGTGGACACAACATCTTTGTTTGTATGTGGTGCTGAGGATCAAACCCGGGCCGCACGCATGCCAGGCGAGCGCGCTACCGCTTGAGCCACATCCCCAGCCCCGCAATCTGTTTTCTTGTAAAATATCTGATCTTAAGAAAAATGACATAGAAAATTTGTTCATATTATTCTGTTTATTTATTTATTTTTTGATGCAAGCATTTTTTTTTAATTTCTGAAAACCAAAATTGGCTGTTTAAAAACACATATGAACAATAAGCCCAATCTTTACATTGAATGCAATTGTGCAAAAACTTTTTTTTTTTTAAGCAAAAGACATGGCATGTTCAAAGGAACTCTTGGTTGGTGGTAGGATTATATTTATAGTAAACAGAGAACTCTAGAATGTGTACAGGAAACACAGTATGTAGGGAAATGGAGGCTTCAAGAAAAGCCACATCAAATCTGGAAACAAGGAAGGGACATGCGGCCCTCTGGAATTTGACACCTGTGATTAGTTTTCCATGGGTGGTCAGTAGATGGCAAATAAGCAAAGATGTGCAAAGGATGCACCTGATCAATGTGGTAAGAGTCGGCCTGGTTCTGCAAACCTGCCTTGTTTGGGATGGAAGTGCCCAAGCTCTGGGTCCCAGCATCCCACAAGATAAAATATAAAATTGCATAGATTTTATTGATTATTATCACAAGATTGATAATTCAGCAGGGTTAGGGGCAGCCAGAAGCAAAACAGTGCAGGATGCCCTCTCTTATGGTTCTCGGCTTTTTCTTACTGTCCCAGATTACATACAACCACAGTTGATGCCTCACTACATCTGGGACCTGCTCAGCCCTTCAGAGCCCTTCTTAAAGGGACAAAAGCAATCATTACTCAGATCTCCTTCTGGCAACTCCCAAGTTACCTAGGCAACTGGGTAACTTTTCTTTTCATATTTAAAAATATATATAACAAAATAATAGGTAATTATAATGCAACTACCCACTTCCTGGAAGAGCTAGTAAATCCCCAAGGGAATCTTTCTACTCTCTAGGCCACTTGTGTGTGTTAATCAACTTGATGTCACTATAACAGAATCCCTGAGATAATCAACTTATAAGAGAAAAGTTTTATTTTGGCTTAGTTTTGGAGGTTCCAGTCCATTATTGAGTAGCACCTTTTGCCCTGGGCCTGTGGCAGCGCAGCACATCATGATGGGAACTCATGGCAGAGCAAAACCACTCACTTTATAGGAAAGCAGGGAGCAAAAGAAAAAGTGGAAAGGACTGGGCTCTCCTAAAGGCTCCATTGCTTCCAAATAGCATCCCTTTGGGACTGAGCCTTTAATATGCTGACTGTTGGAGGGAAACTTACCAAACTGTAGCCATGTAGGATGCAGTTAAACCTGTAAGTCACCTCCCACTCTTCAGCTATGGGTATGTTTGGCCAATTCCATAAAAGCCGTGGAGTTCTCCTTGGCACCTTGCTTACTCTGTGGGACCCAGGACACATCTTCATCAACCTCCAGCCCCTGATAAGGTGACTGTAGCTTGAAAAGTAATGACAGTGTTGGAAAAATAATACCATCTGTAAGAATGCAGACTCCAGGCCTGTGGTGAGCTGGTAACTTGCAAACTTACCCTTATTCACTACTTTAGTACCTGGATGAGAAAAGCATTTGGTATAGTGCAGCCAAAATGGAATAAAGTGAAGAATACTCAAGAAGATCATGTCAAGATGGCAAGCCTAGTTGGCTAGTCTAGCCTATTCAGTGGCTCTTCCTGGTGGATATTCAAATTGCCCAGGAAAAATGGTAAGGGTTGAAGGCAAAAGAAAGAGTATTCCAATATTTTATTGAATACTGGAACTGGTGACATGAGACTCAAAGGAGGCAGGATTTATGACTGAGGTGGGAGGCCGATTTTGCCTAGAAATTGCAGCTTAGGAATTAGAAGAAGGGGCAGCCTGCTCAAGCCCCCTAACTGAAGGCTTATACAGGGGAATGGGGTCTGAGTTTCATGTGGAATCAAGAGGCCTGTTGGAAATGAATGCCTGTCTATAGTTTGTTTCTGTCCTCTAACTTTATTATTATCTAAAAATGCTTTGACTATCCTAAGTCCTTGCATTTCCATATAAATTTTAGAATCAGCTTGTCAATTTCTACAGAAATCCTGCTGAGATTTTTTATTTCAAATCCATACATCACTTTGAAGAGAATTGACATATTCATGGATGTAGCTCTCCATTTATTTAGTCTTCTTTTATAATTTTTCACATCCGTGTTGTAAAGTTTTCAGAATATAGATTTTAGTCTATTTTATAATATTTATGCTTAAAGTATTTCACATTTATTGATGCAATTTTAATGGTATTTTTAAATCATCTTTTATTAACTGCTAGCATATAAAAATTTGATATTTCTTTCTGGCTTGTATCCTGCAATCTTGCTAAACTCACTTATTAGTTCTAGTAGCTTTTTTTGGTATGTTCTTTTGAATTTTCTATGCAGAGAATCATGTGATATGCACAGAGGCAATATTACATCTTCTTTTCTGTATTAAGTTTCTCCAAAGAGACAGAACCAATAGAATATAGGTAGTTATATGTATTTCAGAGGGATTTATTAGGGGAATTGACTTACATGATTAAGGAGACTCAAAAATCCCACAAGAGGCCATCTGTAAGCTGAGATGCTGGGATGCTGGTAGTGTGGTTCAATGCAAGTCCAAAGCTGAAGGCCTCAGAACCCACATAATTTTCCCCCCAGTATAGAATTCTTGAGGAATATTTCCACCCCACCAAGTTTTGTAGATGAAATGCTATTCTCTTTTGCAGTGGGTATTTATTTAGGGAAAAATTTTTAGGTTGGCCTAATTCTTTTTTCCTTTTATGTGTGTTGTAGTCATTAATGCCATTTGAAACTATTTTTTGAAGCTCTTTAGCTTATCCCTACATGGTACGATTGTTCTATCTAGTCCTCTTCTGGTTGCTGAAGGCCATGAGAATAATACTTAATATATATCATTTCCAAGCTAGAGATTTTAATTGTGGCATGAGATTCTCCAGAGCTCTCTTTCCTCCAGCTACTATCCTATCAGGGATACCATAAGGAGCAAAGCCTCCTGCAACTTACTCACACTGGTTGTGTAGCATGAATGATAAATAAACCTTTATTGTTTTAACCCATTGAATTTAGAGGAATATTTGTTACTGCAACATAACCTAGCCCATCCTGTCTGATGCAGGGCAACATTTTTCTTTTGGTTCAGATTTCAAAAGTATTTTTTGATTATCAAGTTTATTAGATTCACTATGATATGTCTTTTTTGATATGTCTTGATACTTATCAATCTCTATCAATTTTCCCATGATACCCAGTGTCCTCTTACAACCTATGAATTTGCATCTTACTTTATTTGAGAAAAAATTTCTATAACTTTATATTTGAATCTTTTTGACCTGTTTCAAGACAACAGTGCATTTCTTGGACCACTTTTATCTGTCTTTCATAACGATCATTTTTTTCTCTAGTTTTTTTTTTAAGGTCTTCCTTTTCCACCTCATTTGGCTGTATTTCTAAAACCTCTCTCCCTAGCTATATTTTCTGCAGTGATCGTTGCCTTTTTGCTCTGCTGTCACTGTGATATTGAGTTTTGGCAGCTCCCTTCTCAACTTTCTGTATCTTCTTCATTTGTTCAGTGAAGAATCTCTGCTTTGAGCCCTTAGATTATAGCAGCTTTCTTCTCTGGCCGCAGTTTGCATCCATGGATGTCTCTAGCTAGTTAATTACACTGGAGCTTTCTATGTGTCTTATGTCTTTCTTAGATCTCTTCTGTGAGGTATATGGACACACCAAAGCACTAAAGCACAGTCGTGATCCTTAATTGCTAACTGAAGCTTTATGCTCCATTTAAATAGGCTTTAGATCAAATAGGATTTCGTTCTTCCGTCTCATAATCATAGAAGCCCTGAGAGTCAGATAGATCTAAATGCCATCTTAACTAGTTTCCTTGTAATTGGTGTTGCGGTCACCCTTTTTTTTTTTTTTTGGATACCAGAGATTGAACTCAGTGACACTCGACCAATGAGCCACATCCTCAGCCCTATTTTGCATTTTATTTAGAGACAGGGTCTCACTGAGTTGCTTAGTGCCTTGTGATGGTGGTCACTTTGAATTTAACATTTTTCTTGAAAAGTGATTCGAACCATGTTGTGATTGATGACATTCCCTGCAGTAAAGGGGTCTTCTGCATGGACCCAGTGTTGCTTCACTGGCATTAAAACTCTTAGGTACCAGAACAAGCATAGGTAGTAGGAAATGGAGTCACTCTGGGATGGGGCTGCTCTAATTCTATATACAGAGTTCCATGGGAACCCCTGCTTACATAACATTTGCAAAATATTCTTGACACTTAGCAAAAGAAAAGGCTACAGGAAATGTTCTCTTCATTACTTTCCCTTGCTCTCTCCTTTTTGGTCAGCAATTAGAGCTGGTTCATTGATCTTTTCCATAGTCTCATTTGAGCTCTATTTATCTGGTTAGTAATACTCTAT